TTCAACGAGCCAAGTCCACTCAGCCAGGAAAATCAGACTCTCTTCCTCCCTCTCTCTCTCCCTCCTTCCCTCATTGCCCTTCCTTCCCAATCTTCTCCAGGGAGTTGCACAGAAAGCATGTTGCGCCTGCTCCTTGAGGCCTTACCCTTCAGCTAAAGTGCCTGACCTACATTTTCTCCTCCTCCACTCTTTCCTCCTTTCTCACCCTCTTCCTTCTCCTCCTTCTCCTCCATTTCTGGCCCTGGAGCTGCACCCCAGGGTTTTTACATGATAAGCAAGCACCTGACCAGGGAGCTACCTTCCCAGTCCTTTTTTTTTTTAAAAAAAAAAAATTATTTGTTCTGATTATTTATACATGAAAGTAGAAAGCATTTTGATATCACAAACACAATGGAGTATAACTTCTCATTCTTTTGTTTCTACATGATGTAGAATTACACTTGTCGTGTAATTATATATGTACATAGAGTAATAATGTCTGATTCATTCCATCATCCTTCCTACCCCCCATACCCACTCCTCTCCGTTCACCCCCATCTACCTGATCCAAAGTATCTCTATTTTTCCCTAGCCTTCCACCCTTTATTATGAAACCAGCATTCACATATCAGAGAATACATTTGGCCTTTGATTTTTTTGTATTGGCTTATTTCACTTAGTATAATATTCTCCAGCTCCATCAATTTACTTGTAAATGCCATAATTTCATTCCTTTTTAAGGCCGAGTAATATTCCATTGTGTAAATATACCACATTTTCTTTATCCATTCATCTGTTGAAGGGCATCTAGGTTGGATCCATAGTTAGGCTATTGTGAATTGAGCTGCTATAAACATTGATGTGGCTGTGTCACTGTAGTATTTTATTTTATTTTATGACAGGGTCTTGCTAAGTTGCCCAGAACAGCCTTGAACTTGTGATTTTCCTAAGTTGACGTTTATCTTCTTACAAAACAAAAAGGTAGGGTCCTTCACAAGGGAGATTCTTATAATGTCTGTGACAGTAACCTTTGCCCAACATTACTACATGCGTAAGTGCACTGTGATTCCTGGAGAGGTAGCATATCTGGGGCTGTAAAAAGTCATCCTCCTGGTGAATACTGAGGAGCATTCTGAGGAGTAAAATGCCGAGTTCATTCATTCTCCTTGCCTGAGCCAAGTGGAGGCGGCTCCCCTGGAAGACAGAAATGGGACTGTAGTGGAGACCCCTCTGTCAGGGAGATATGACTTCAGGAAATCTCTGGCTTGACATATTACTCTGCTTAGTGCCACCAGAGGCTCCTACAAACTGAGCGCTCTCTGGGACTGAGGCCCTCTGTTATGGAAGCAGGAGCCACTCTCCTCTCTCTCCCATGTTGCAAACCAGAATTGGAGGTGTGAGCTTTCTCCAGGTCATGCAGCATGTTGGAGAAAAATCGATAATGATGATCACGATGACACAAACAATGGTTGTGACTCTGCTCTTTGGAGACTGGTCTCTTGTATTAGGATTTGGGTAGATAAGACTGTTTGGGACCCCCGGCAGGTGGTTGTGAAACAATTTCTGGATCAATTGTCAAATCACAAACTGCTTTAGAACACCCGAGTGGCACATTGCCACCCGTGTGCAATAGATCGCTACGGAATGAAATGTCTGTCCTGACTTTCTCCTTCATCAAGGATTTTTATCCAGGGGACTAAGGACCTATGAGTGAGGGAGAATAACATTGGCTTTCTGACGAACGCTTTTAACACTTTAAATTTCATTTGCATCGCACAGCTTCACATAGAAGATGCATAAATCCTTCCTTTTCTTTCACAACCATAGCATATCTTATAATTTAGCAACTGTAAAAATGAATAAGTACAATTAGCAATGCAGAACAAAAGACAGTGAGCTTATAACTGGTTATAAGTCAATTGAATCTCATTATTAAGGAATATAATGATCCTAATTAATATCCTGGTTTTCTGGTCTCTCCATAAATCAGTAGGCCATTGCTTAGCTACTTTGCATTCCTGATTTTAGTATCACATCCTGATTCAGAGGCCTGGTCAGAGGCCTGGTCAGAGGCCTCTTTCTTCCTTCTTGACATTTGCCTGTACCCTGAGGTTAGTCAAGGGATTCTGTGGGGTGGCAGGAAAGAGCAATGGGTTGCAGGTCGGGACCCTTTTGTCCTGGCTGAGCCCTTCTCCTGTCATTTATGTGGCCTGGGAGATCAACCTCAGGACCATGGCAGTACCAGAGGGACTTTGGGATTAAGAGTGAGGCTGAGATGTGGACTCTGAGCTGGGGGCGTGGGTTGTTGATGGGCTTTTCAGAAAGCAAACAGGGGAAGAGCTGATGTTGGAGCCAAAAAACTTCAGGGTGGGGGTGTTTGGAGCTGGAGGTTTCTGTATGGTATTCATGTGCAAATTATTGGGAGAGGGGCTTAGCGGGAGCTCTGGGGACAGATGAGGGAGAAAAGATGAATGGAGGGCAAGTGGAGAACTCGGTGAAACTTCCTGCTGAAAGCCCCTCAAGGTCTCATGCTGAAGGCGGATACATCACTGAAATGCTGAATAGTTCCCTCCTGCAGACATCTTTGCCTGTCAGGGAAGAATGAAGTACACATTCAGCACAACAGCCCAAGTCTTGTCCCCAAGGATCTACATTTTGTACCGGCTTCTTTTCTCCTGCCAGGGAAGACAGTTCATTTGCTTAATAAGAAAATCTGTACCATTCACTCATTTGCCTACAGATATTAAGCTTCAGGTAAGATGTGGATTTTTCTGTTACTTTCTAAATAAACCCAGCTGCTGGAATGTGTGTCTAGTGGGAGAATCTGTGAGCTAAGATGCATTAGTGTTGTAAAAGATGAGCTTAAAGCCCAAAATGACTAAGCCCAAAATGAATTGTGTGTTTAGAGACTTGATAAGAGCTTCCATCAACCCACAGGTGAGGGGGGGCTTGAGCATAGGGCGGGGGTGGCCTTCAGTCCTGCAGAGTTGCTGGTCTCGCCATCGTCTCTTGTGGCCTTCCCTTCCTTTGACAGACACCTTGAATCATCTCTAATGTCAATAATTCTGTATACTTATGAAGCCCTTTGCAGGATTTCTGTGATGACACATGCCATAATAATCCTGACAAGGAGAATTGACAGGTAAATCCATCTCATTTGCAGAGGGGAACACTGAGGCCCAGGGAGATGAACTGCTTTTGCTCAAGGACACGCATCTCGTAAGTGGCCTACATGAGATGACAGTTGGCCCAGCCCCTCCCGCCCACTCCTCGAGCAGATGTCCTTGTTCAGCCTGCGTTTTCTCACTGGGACCATGAATAGTCAACTCAATGATGCCTCCTCTTCTGGTCTTCTGCCTCTTGGATTTTTTGGTTTATACTGTAGAAAACTCCAATTCCCGTGACAGGGTTTGAATCAGGACCATTCTTAAACATCCTTAAACACCTTTACTGTCACCACAGAGCCTGCCAGCAATAGCTTGACATCCTGTGAGAGGCCCAAGGCCTACCACAATCTGTCACAGACGGTGTGCCCTAGATAGGCCAGGGGCCCTGGTCCCCACACACGTGCCTTCTCATTGCTTCCTGAACTTCCTTGTGGCCTTTCTTCAGCAAGTTGCACTTCTCCCTCTTCCACCTATAATTTAAATCTGGCTCATTCTTTAAGGCCCAGGTCCAACTCCATGTCTTTCATGAAGTCGTTCTCCATCACAGAAGATGGAGGTCCAACTCCACAGCCTCCTTCTCTGTACAAGGCTGTAGTTCCTTCTAGATCTGTTGTATTCCTAATGTCCAGGCCTGAACCACACCACATTTTCCATTCTTTGAGAGATATCAGGGATTCTACCTCATTCTTCACTTACCATCATTGTGCATACTCACTAAACACCTATTTAATGAATAAATTTGCTTGTAAAAAGTGTTTCAGGAAGGTCAACAGACAAGGGCACATATATAGTGTTAGACTTTTAGAGAAATAGATCATTTTGGGCTCCAAAGAAGAGTGCTCCCTGATTTGCTTGTGTCCTGCAGGCACCTTCCTCTCTGTCGTAAGGATTTTGTGGACCACTTGCTGAAAACACTGATGGCATCTCGTCCAGGCACATGGACCTTGCAGACTCCCCAGGGGATCTGCATGCTAAACCATGCTGGGGACCCCCCAGCACAGAATGCTGAAGATCTTTAAGATCCAACGTTGTTGATCCAAGAGACGAGTCAAATTGGTTGAAGATGAGATAAATTCCTTCATAAGTCCAGGGTTACTACTTTGGGGTTCTCCTCTTGGTCACAAGTTCCTGAGGCTCACAAATGGATTCAGGCCTGTTTTGAGTCCCAGCAGGAAACATACCAGTGGCTTCCAGAGAGGTGCAGGTGCAGGTGGAGTCTCTGATTTTAGTCTTCCTCCTGTTTCAACTTTATTCTCTGATACCCTATTCTTTTTTTAATAGTTGGTATTTCACTGTCAGGTTTTTTTTTTTTTTTATAATTTCTTTTAGATCTTCAAACTGTCCCCTTCCCCCAGCTGCTCATTTTATGAACACACCTTCTCCCCCTGCATAAGGAATCTTTTATGCTGCTCTGGTTGCATATGCCTGCCCTCTCTCTTTGATATGGTGCTGTCAGGTCTTGTTTTTCGTGGTCTCCACAGTGGAGCCCACTGTGGGAAACTTCTGCGGGAGGTGTTCAGAGTAGGACCTGTGGCACGTTGTGTCATCTCACTAAATGTTCTGTCTCCGAGGTGGATATAGTGGTGCGTCTGGGTCAGTATCTGTGGGAGTTTGTGTATTCATCAAGATGCCAGAATTGTAAATTAGGTTTTCCTGCTACTAAAGAAACATATATATGTACATATATACATACTTCCCTTGAATAAATATATGTATTATATTTACATATATTTATATATTTATCTATTATCGATGAATATATTTACCTCTATATATTTTTCTCTCTTGCTTTTGTGGACTTAGTTTGGATAATTGTGAAGGATTCTCTACACCATAAAAAACACAAAATGAACACCAAGAATCACAGCTCCTTTTATTGCCTTCCCTATTAGTACAATCACTTCTATTGCTCTAAAGGGCAATTGTCCTCTTGCAGAAGACTAGAAGTGGGGACTCTATTTAGTTGACTGTTTAGTCTCAATGAGGAAGAAGTCCTACATATGCCTCTTCAGCTGACCAAAGCATCCAAGGTGCCGTTCTCATGCTGTCTTTGTGTCCATTGGCTGGCAGTGATTTGGCCTGGACATCTCCTCTGGGTTGATGTTTCTCTACCTGTCCATCCCACCTCCGGGGGACCTAGTCACCTTCTCTTGCTCCTTGATCCTCACTGTTATTATGCTAGTTTGAGAAACCCATAAGCTTCCCTTCCCCTACTTTGAGGATTTCTGGTGTTGAATGGAGTCAGCAGGGTCTACGTTGTCAGTACCTAAAAATCACGATTTACCCTATGGATTTAAAAAGGAAGAAATGGAAACTCAGTGTGGGAGGGGAACTGATGCTGACTGCATCCCTCTCACAGGTGAGGTGTAAGTTCTGATGCCCTGGTAACGATGAAGACCATAATGATTCTCTTCTCCCCCCAACCTGGTATGAACCCCTGGATGTGCTTGATGTCAAATCCTCACCACGGTTCCTATAAGGAAGATGACATCATCCTTCCCACCATGAAGATGCTGAAATTCTGGAAAGTCAGGTCATTGGCTCAGGGACACAGAGCAGAAAGACAGCAGAAGCTAGATGTGAAACCAGGCTCTGCCCCTTTCCCCTCTGCTTGGAGTCCTGTGGGAATGAAATGTCTTGGGCACCCGGACTCCAAGAGATGATACATCCCTGCCATCAGAGTCCCGCCAGACAGCTCCGGGTTCCCAGCTCTCCTTGTCACATGCTGCACTCAAGTTCCCTCTTCTCTTCCCACTCTGTGTCCAAGGATGTCAACCAGTCCTTGGAATATTTTCTGGATGATACTGAGTGGAAAAATACCAACAGGGAACCTAGGAAGGGAAAAAAAAAGTGAAGAGAAGACAAGTACCCTATTTATCACTCTTGACTCTGTTACAAAAGATCTGCAAAGCTTACAAAAAAAAAATCAACCTGCAAATCATGTTATGGTTAATAAAACAGTAAATTAAGCCTCCCTGGCTCTACCTGCAGTGTCCTGAAGGGACTCACAGTGCCCTTTCTGTGTTTTATTTTAGGGCCCAGTACAAAAGGTTTTCACCTTAAAGTAATTAACTTTTTATCATTAAGATTCTGAAAAATTGAATTGTGCTGGACACAGGTCACCGTAATGAGAATTTAATGGCGACGTATCACAATGCAAGCTCAGCTTTGAATGCACGCTGAAGGCGTCACATTGCTACTGACCTATGCAAATCTCCATCTTGCTGGCCCTTATTCTTCCCCACTGTGGCATCCAGGCCCCCTCCCCACTCTCCCCTCATCTCCTTAAACAATGATTCCCTCATTTTCATATTAATTGCATCACTTAACTGAGATAATGCTCCCTCTGAAATGAGCAAAGGGATGAATCACCGAAACGGGCCATTATTCTTTTTGCTTAACCAATTTCACAGGCCCCGCACAAAGCACTGCCTTCATTTGGCTTCCTATAATTGCTTATCATTAGGCCCAGCCGCCCCACGAAGTACCTTTTTATTTATTTAAGTCTCATCTCTGATGGATGGAAAATGATTCACTTGCATATCTGAAGAGTCCAGACTGTTCTGTGACCAGGCAAGAGGGCGGTAGAATACCCCAGAGAGCTTTGGAGGCAGAATATCAAGGAAGAGCAGCAAGGGTGTCTGGCTCTGCACTTGCCCCATTCCCCATGGAGATTCTGGGGACAGCCATGGCTGCCAAGTGACCTACAGGCGTCTTAGTCCCAGTCCCAGTCTTCCCATAACACAGAGAAGACAGTGCTTAATCCACATGATAGTGGCATCTCAGTGCCCGCCCACAGCTGGTGCACAGGGCTACCAAGTGCCCTCGTCATCTGGAACCACAGCAGCCCGCTGTGGGCAGTTGAGTCGGGCAAGAGAGAGGCTGCACCTGGACCCCAACCTGGTGTTCCAGGCCCATGGTCATGCGATGGCTGGAGGAACATGTGGAGGATCGCTATTCATTTTCTTTCTTTCTCCTTTAGGGAGCACAGGATGGTGAATGAGAATGAGAGAAGGAGAGGACATTTTCCAGGGGAAATGATGATGTTGTCGGCCACAGCCACCCTCTGAAAGGCATCCGGGAGAACGGCTCCCTCACTGCAGAAGAGAAAAACTCCCGCCAGCCTGTCAGCCGATCTGGGCTAGAACATTCCCTGGAGGTTTGCTCGAAGTACATGGTGTGCTTTTGTTCCTGAGGATGAGAGAGTTTGTCGCTGAGCTGGCTGTCCCTGGCCACGCAGTCCTCTCTGTCGTAATATTGCTTCTCAGATCTCGCCGCTGTGACTCATGCTCCCATCCTGTTTGGGGGCTGCTCTGACTTTACCTGTGCATCTCATCCACCCTGGTGCTCAGCTCTCACCAGGGCTCCCCAGCTTGACACCTCCAGCCAACCCATCAGGAGCCTAGCAGGGTATAAACAACTTCCCTGAGAAGGACAGTTTCCTATTGTGTGTTTGAGATGTTCCTAGGGTGGCTGTTAGGGATCAAAATTCAATGCACACCATCACCCTCCTTCACACAGAAGGAGATGACTTTGATAGTACTCTGATCAGGGAGGAGATTGACATAGGGTGGTAGCTCTCAAACGTGCCTGGTAACCAGCAACAGCAGCAGCAGCTGAGAACTGTTAGAACTGTCAATTCCCAGACTCATCCCAGACAGCCAAGCAGAGAATCTGAGGATGGGCTCCAGCAGTCTGGGTTTCACAGGCCAAGCCCTCTGGGTCATGTTGATGGTCAGCAGATGCAGGACAAGTGGCCTAGTGCGTCTTATTTTGTGTTGGCTGTTCTGTGTTCTCATGATACTCTCGCATGCATCATCTTGCTGAACTTCACACGACTTCAGGCAATTGGCTGGAGAAGACAAAGCTGGGAGGTTCTTCCCATTTCGCAGATGAGAAGGTGCAAATCATCAATGCTGTATAACTTGTGCATGGTCCCCCACTTCCGGAGCTGGAAACTGCCTTTCTGCTTCTTGGCCACTCTGACCCGGTGAAGGAAGACAGAGAGAAGTGTCTGGGAGAACAGTAGCAGAACATGAAAAGGGAGGGTTTCATAATCCTCCAGGTATGATGTAGACCACACCATCACCCTAGGAAAGGGGAAGGCTTGAGGGTAAGGCTCAGTGTTTTCATTTGCCACAAAGAGTGCAGGGCTAGGGTCTAAAGTTGGAATGACACAGGGTAACTTGTGCTCTATTTCCTCTCATGTGCTGTGGGTCCTTGGCCAAAGTCCCAGACTTTCTGAACCTTGGTTTTTGACTATGAAAGAGGGCTGACGATAGAAGTGTGTAGCATAGAGGTTGCACTGAGGGTCAAAGAACATAGTGCATGTGAGTTCATTTGCAGACACTTCAGTCATAGTGAGCAGTTGGTTTTTATGTTACTGTTACCATTAGGAATTTTTAAAAAAGGGAGGTAAAGACTAGCTTATTACTCAGCTCTTAACTGTTCAAGATGGTGAATGATATGTTAACATGAGCAGCCATTTACTGGACTCCTCTCCCATGTCTGGGATTGCTTCAAGGGGTGCCCTCATAGGCACAGGGCAGGGAGTTGGGCGAGAGTTCTGGCTGAGAAGCTGGGACCAGACTGGAGCATTTCCCAGGATGGGTTGGGGTTGCAGAGATGGAAGGAGACCTTGAACTGCATTGGGCCTGAAGTTAAGAACAGATAACCCGGCAGTGCAAGACCATGCGTTAGATGGTTACCATGACAGATGGGGACCTAATTCACAGAAGTTTCTGCAGCTCTTTTAGGACAGGTCCATGGGCCATCGATGGCAATGGAGGCTTATTTTATTATGGGCCTGGCATTGTGGCACAAAGATGGTCTGATCGTTAGCCCTCTACTGTGCTGGATGCTGTAGAAGATTAAACTTGATATTGTATTTTTGAAGGATGCTGGGAATGACTGGAAGTGAATCATTTCCTTACCTCCTACACTGATAGGGGAGAACGCAAGGATCATTTGTGGTGTTCCCTTCCCCATCAGGATAAAAGGCAGGACCTACTTTATTGGAGGTGTCTTCCTTGGCTCACGCTTAGACTGTGGAATGGGTTCACTCCATGGAAAGTTAAAGCAGGTGGAGACCTGTCTCCTTGTCCTACCCCTGACTCAATAGCAGAGGTGGACCGTGGCCCTCTTTATGTATCTGATTTGGGAAAGGTCACTCAGGTTGTTCTCCAGGCTCATTTTCCCTCTGTACCCACCCCGTCAATGTCCCTCAAGGTATGTTTGCTAGGTGGAGGGGGCTTTGTTCTACTAGTCACATTCTCCAGTCCAGATTTTATCAGAACTGGGTCGTGGAATATCTTATGCCTGCATGACTATTATGAATTTGTATTTAATTGTTATGTTATGATTATATATAGTCATGTACAAATGTGATTAATTTATATTAGTTGATCAAAACATGCCATGGACTGAATGTTTGTGTCTTCCAAAATTCATGTGTTGAAGCCTGAACCACAGTGTGATGGCATTGGAGGTGGGGCCATTGGGTGATTAGGTTTAGATGAGGCCATGAGAGTGGACCTCCATGATGGGATTTGAGTTCTAAGATGAAGAGGAAGAAAGATCCATGCTTTCTCTCTTCCCCCCATGGAAGGATACAAGGAGACAGTAGGTGTCTTCAAGTCAGGAGGAGGGCTCTTATCAGGAATTGAGTATGTCAGTATCTCCATCTTTGACTTTCATCCTCTGTAACTATGAGAAATAAACACCTGTTGTTTGGACACCCAGCCTAGGGCGTTTTGTTATAGTAGCCAGAGATGACTAGCACACACCAGTTGATAGTTTGCCTCCTGTTTGACAAATGGTCCCTGTGACTGAACCTCATTTGTCAGAACTCCAAAGGAATTATGAGCAGCACCCTAACTCCTCAACAGCACAATCTGTTCAAGCCTCTGCAGGCTACTGGTCCTTGCTGTAACTTCCACTACTTCTGAGCAAACTCCTCATTAGCTTCTGATTGAATGGTATCAGTTGCAGGGAGCTTACCACTTTCCAAAGCAAACTTTTTCATCTAGATTATGAAAAGGAAATGAAATAAATGGCCAGTGAATTCTCAGTAGCTAGAGTCACGTGTGACATTTATCAGAGGCTGATAAATGGAAATTAGTGACCACATGAATATAAAGTATATTTATTCCAATGATAGGCTTGGATAGTTTATTCAAACTTATTTCTAATAATGCAGAAATGAGGACCAGGGATCTCAAGTAACTTTCTCAAGTTCAGTCAGTAGAAGGCCCAGAACTAGAACCACACTCCCTTGATATCTTGGTGTCAACTGTGGTGTCTCTTAATGTGAAAAGTTTTCTCCTTGTGGGACTTAAAATCCACAATAGACAACGAAAGAGAAATGCTTAAAACCAAGTAGAGAATGATGAAGCAGCCATGGGTTGTACTGACATGCAAGGCCATTGACTTCAGAAATGAAAAAAAAACAATTGATGTGGCTACAATTTTTGACATCATCTTCCAATATTAGCATAGGTAGAATCTACCTGAGCAGGACTTAGAGGGGTGCAGAAACAGAGATGAGTGAACTTCAGGCAAAGGTGTTAGGAACACCACAAGTTTGGTGAATGTGGAGAAGAGGAGGAGACTGTGGGGAAATGGTGGAAATAAGGTAGAGGGCAAGTAGGGACAGGTCATGGAGGGGTTCTTAAAGGACAGGTTCAAGGACAGCAGAGAGGTGGTGTAACTTCTTGATACTGGGAAAAACGAGAATAAGGTGGTGTTTCATGAAGAGCAATGTGAAAGGGATATTTGGGATGCATCAGAGCAGGAGAAGCCAGAAGCTCATATGAATCTATTGTATTCCAAAAGAGCATATTTAGCAAATTTCAATATGGTGTCTTTCCCCACCAATGTTCTTTTGAAAGTAGGCAGGCTGATTGGGGTGGGCTTCCTTGATAATCCTGAATCACCCTCTCTGGATCTCAGTTTATTTGGCTTTAAATAGTAGTCAAACTATTCCATAAACTACCTCTTTGCGCAGGGTGTGACTACTTTATTTCTCACATCAGATCGTGCCAAAGTGTGTAGAGTTGGAGTTAGGAGCCACTGACTTTCCTTGCTTTTGAATTGAAGTGATAAAAGCTGTATTTTAAGAGAAATTGCCAACTGGTAGAAAAGAGATTTTCATTGCTGTGAACAACATGTTATTAAAATAAACAGGTTGACTTAAGTTGACATATACCATAAAAATTGAACTGCCAGAGAGCTGAGCTTAGAATAATCATACTGGAGAAAAATTATCCTTCACAATTAAAGAGCACCTTATCATTTATATTAGTTTATGTGGGTTCAACAGCTGCACAGAAGAAGCTAAAAATGTAGTAGTTCAAATACAAAGTTACTTTCCTTCTCACCTGAGAATCTAGCAGGGATATTCCAGGTCAGCAGAGGTGGTTGCCGTTTGGAAATAGGGGGTGTATTTCTCCCTCGTGTGGTCTTTTAGGGACTCAGGAACTTACTGGCTCTGCCATATTCAATGTACTGGTTCCAAGGCTATCTCAATTCCTGTTATTTTAGCTGAAGAAGTGAACATGGCACAGGCTGGACAGTCTTGTGGGCTAGGACCTGATGTGGCGCACATAACTTCCTCTCATAATCCATTGGCTCAAACCTAGTCACATGGCCATACTGAATTACAGGAGAGGCTGAGAAATCCAGATGAGTTCTGCATTCAGAAAGAATGACAAGATCTTAGTGAAGAGTTGGAATTCTTCTTATAGAAATCTAGTTCCTGTTCTACTGTCAAAGACCGTGAAACTCTGGCTAGGTGGATTATTTTAGAAAACATTGACTATTAATGCATGATCTAGGAAAGTTTCAAGGTCACCTAATTATCTCTGTATTTATACTCCAGCCAAAAAGTTAATTATTCCTAAAGCCAAAGATCTGAAGAACATCTACAGTGTGCACAGCTCCTCCCCTGTGTGGTGTGGTTGTCACAGTTCTGCTGGCTTCCTAATTAAAGACTGATTCCTCCAGATACTGAACGGAGAAGAGGCACCCACAGCTTTTTATTGCTGAACACTGTTTGAAACCATAATCACACACCTTATTTCCAAGATGGGTTGAATCTTTCTGGGGGAAGGCAATAACATTTCTTGCTATTTTATAAAATTTTTGTAACATCTTGCATGGAGCATTGACTACTCCCAGTTCCTCACCTTTATCTGGTTTATTAAACCATTTAAGTCCAGTTCCTTCTGGTAAATTTTTATTTTGAAATATGGACCCAAAGTGTGATCAATTTTTATATATTCATATATACATGATTTATATTTACATATATAAATTCATATATTCATGAATGAATAAATCAGCTAAAGGTGTGGAGCTGAGAGTAAAAGTCCCTGTGCTAGATGTTATAAGAACTGTATAAAACAACAAAAAAATTCACTCCCTCTCTTCTTGGGGAATTTATAGCCTTATGAACATAAGGGTTTAATCACCTCGTTCATCCTGCAAGATGGTTGGGTAAAATAAAATGAAGTAAAGAATGTGAAAGAGATATGAAATTACAAAATTCGATGTAGATACATAAGATCACCCATAAATCAAAGGCATTTCTGAATATCAATGACAAATCCTCTGAGAAGGAAATGAGGAAAACTACCCCATTTACAATAACCTCAAAAAAAAAAAATAAGATACTTGGGAATCAATGAAAGAGGTGAGATATCTATACAATGAAACTACAGGAGAAGATGGAAAGATCTACCTTGCTCTTGGATAGGCACAATTAATATTATCCAAATTACCATACTATCCAAAGCACTATACAGACTTAATGCAATTCCAATCAAAATCCCAATGGCATTCCTCATAGAAATAGAAAAAGCAATCATGAAATTCATCTGGAAAAATAAGAGACCCAGAATAGCTAAAGCAATCCTTAGCAGGAAGAGTGAAGCCGGTGGCATCACTATACCAGACCTTAAACTATACTACAGAGCAATAGTAACAAAAATAGCATGGTATTGGCACCAAAACAGACTGGTAGATCAATGGTACAGAATAGAGGGCACAGAGACTAACTTACAAAATTACAATTATCTTATATAAGACAAAGGTGCCAAGAACATGTATTGGAGAAAAGATAGCCTCTTCAACAAATGGTGCTGGGAAAACTGGAAATCTATATGCAACAAACCCCTATCTCTCACTATGCACAAAACTAAACTCAAAGTGGATCAAGGACCTAGGAATTAAACCAGATACTCTATGTCTAATAGAAGAAAAAGTAGCCTTAATCTTCATCATGCGGGATTAGGCCCCAACTTCCTTAATAAGACTCCTATAGCATAAGAATTAAAATCAAGAATCAATAAATGGGATGGAATCAAACTAAAAAATTTCTTCTCAGCAAAAGAAACAATCTGTGAAGTGAACAGAGAGCCTACATCCTGGGAGAAAATTTTTACCCTTCACACATCAGATAGAGTACTAATTTCTAGGGTATATAAAGAACTCAAAAAGCTAAGCATCAAAACAAACAAACAAAACCCAAATAACCAAATCAACAAATGGGCCAGGGACTTAAACAGACACTTCTCAGAAGAGGATATACAATTAATCAACAAATATATGAAAAAATGTTCATCATCTCTAGCAACTAGAGAAATGCAAATCAAAACTATGGTATCATCTCACTCCAGTCAGAATGGCAGCTATTATGAAGACAAACAACAATAAGTGTTGGCGAAGATGTGAGGAAAAAGGTACACTCATATGTTACTGGTAGGACTGCAAATTGGTTCACCAATATGAAAAGCAGTATGGAGATTCCTTGGAAATCTGGGAATGGAACCACCATTTGACCCAGCTATCACTCTCCTTGGTTTATACCCAAAAGACTTAAAGACAGCATACTACAGGGACACAGTCACATCAATGTTTATGGCAGCACAATTCACAATAGCTAAACTGTGGAGCCAACCTAGATGCCCTTCAGAGGATGAATGGATTAAAAAAAATGTGGCATATATACACAATGGAATTTTACTCAGCAATAAAAGAGAACAAAATCATGGCATTTGCAGGTAAATGGATGGAGTTGGAGAATATAATGCTAAATGAAGTTAGCCACTCCCCCAAAACCAAATGTTCCATGTTTTCTCTGACATAAGGAGGCTGACTCATAGTGGGGCAGGGAGGGGGAGCATGGGAGGAAAAGATGAATTCTAGATAGGGCAGAGGAGTGGGAGGGGAAGGGAGGGCGCAGGGGATTAGCAAGGATGGTGGAATGTGATGGACATCATTATCCAAAGTACATGTATGAAGACACGAATTAGTGTCAACATACTTTATATACAACAAGAGATATGAAAAATTGTGCTGTATATGTGTAACAAGAATTGTAATGCATTCTGTTGTCATTTATTTAAAAAAATTAAAAAAAATTAAAAAATCATTATAATGGCAATTCATTAATACTATGAACCTTATCAGAATACTGAACACACAAAACCTATCGCGAAACATTTCCAATGCCGTGTGTGAGGCTGGCGTATTAGTGTGTCACTTGAAAATCAGAATGTGGAATTCGAATCCTCAGTATTATGCTATCTAGAGATGAGACCTCTAGGAGGCCATAAAGGTGAAGGCCTCATGAATGAAATTGGTGCCCTTCTGAGAAAGATGCTGAAGAGCTCCCTTGCCCATCAGCATGTGACAATAGGGGGTGCTGCCTGTGAACCTGGAGCCAGGCCTTCACCAGACTCCAAATCTTCCAGGGCCTTGACTGTGGACTCTCCAGACTCCAAACCATGAGAAATACATTTCTTTTTTTCTTTTTTTTTTAGTCACCCAATATGAATGCCACTGAAGTGTGAAAGCCACTTTGGAACTGGGTCATGGTGGGGCTGGAAGAGTTCTGAAGTGGAGACTGGGAAAAGCCTGAGCTTCATGAATACACTAAGGACAAGGGCTCAGGAGGAATGGAGAAGAGCCGCAGAGAAAACCTGCCTTCTTAGAGGGCATGTTTTCAGTCCAGTTTTCAGATGGTTGGCCAGAGGAATGGGAGGTCAGGGCCATTCTGCCTAGAACTCAGTGGAATGAGACTCCTGTCTCTGCGCGTGGAGGAGAGGCAAGGCTTGGTGTGAACTGGCAAGGGCCTGACTGAAATGTGTGTACATCCTTATGTTTTTTGGAAGTAGAACTTGTAAACAATGAAACTGGATATTCAGCTGAGGTGATTTAGCTAAGCAAAATTTTACAGGAATCTCCCCATTCCCTTTGCCGCTCATAGTAAAATAGGAGAGGAGAGAAACGATTTAAGGATGGAAATTTTAATTCAAAGAGTAGCAGAAATGAAAGGCTTAGAAAATTCTCCGTCTAAACATATTGAGAAGAATGAGAAAATGTATTTGTGGGGGAGAACGTGAAGAGTGTGGTTGAACATCGGCTTGATAAAATTTGTAGGGATCCATCATCTCACCTGAAACTAGGAGAAGCTCAGAATTCTCTCAGACAATGAAACAGTGACCTGAAGGCCATTCGGCAGTCCTCAGAGTTTCCCCTCCCATCACAGGGCTTTGGGGGCAGGACAGCTTCAAAGGTGGGGCCCTGCTCATTGCAGGCTCTGCTCCCTGAACTCTGACGCTGTGCTTCTCAGCCAGTTGGGACCCTGTTAGGTCCTGGTGCAATGCAGAAACCATAATGTTGAGGAAAGAACATGGGCTTCCGATAAAGCCTTGGATTTAACACCCACCTCTGGCAAATATTAGCTCTGTGAGCTTGGAAAAATGACATTTCCATTTTATTTCTTCATAGATATAATAACATGCTCTCTCTCTCTTAAAATCTTACAGGATTGTGATTATGATTATAAAATCAATATATCAAAAAGATGCCAAGGGTTTTTATAGAGACTTGGTAAGATAAGCCTTTGCCTCTTTCTCAAGCCACTCTGCCTCATAGGAGTCATGTTAATTGAGCTGTATGTTATTATAATTTGCTTAGCATTGAGCTGAGGTCAGAAGTAAGGCTGAGGTGCATGAGATTCCAGCTGCTAAAGATGGATTATGTGCTATGGAATATTAATGTAGGAGACCTTTAAAGTTTAATCTAGTATGAGCCACCATCAAACATAGAACCTCACCAGATGGTATCTTTGAAAGATTGTTTTCTGGCTGCAGTTGTGATAATTCTAGCAATGAAAACTAACTTAGAAAAAAGGAATTTTCTATCTGGGCAGTTAGTTTAACCAGTTCTTATTGAGGTAGGTACTGTACTAGGAGCTAACTCAGAAGACTGGATTGTCAAATGAGACTCACATGAATCAGAGGTATCCCCCAGGTTCAAGGTTTACTGATACTTTCGTGCATTTGCACAACCAACTCACACAGGTAAAACAGGGAGAAGTCTAAGACATTCCCTGTGGCTCTCTGGCTCTATCCTTCGAGAATCAAATATGAACCGCGGATAAATGATGATATTTCTAAGTGAGCTTTGTGGTTACTGCACACAGTAGGCAGTGTCGTTCCTCAGGTGTTCTGCTCCCTGGGAGAGAAGTGGATCTCAGGCCAGTGACTTGAATTCCTTTCTCCCCACTAGGTAGGGAACAAGTCATACAAGGTCTCTGCCTTATTCCATTGACTGAGGAGAGATGAGGAGATCATCAGACAGTTTACTGAGTGCTGATGGAGAATATATTTCCACTGTGGCTCAATGTCATCCTTGAGAAAAGCAACCCAACAGTGACTGCAGTTTGGAGCATCTGTCCTGGAAAGTTTTGATTTGGAATTCGTG